GGGATAAAATATACAGTTGGAAGTGTATTAGCAATACATGAATGATAGTATTTAAAGGCAAAGATGACATTAAAGTAGGCAATTTGTGCAACCCTCTATCTGAAGTGATAGCTTTTAGCTAGTTTAGTGGGTAAGATAGATGTGCTTCAATTCATGCAAGAATGGTATAGTAGTGGTCCATTGGCAAGCTCAGAGCTTTGGTCTAGTGGTAAGAGACAATGTTATTAAAAGCAAAGCACAAACAAACTCTAAGATCCATTGGGGATTTAAGCCATATCTGTAAATTAAGCGTGAATTTTAATGAAAAAAGGCACAAAGAGAGAAAAAAACTTATATATATGTTTAGTCCAAGATTAATTATTATAAGCATCAATGACGTAGGGGTGATATTGGTGTCTATGTTTATGGAAAATAAACCAGAATAACTCCTTTAGAGATTTTCTCTTATAAAATTATTCAACTAAATGTATGAAAGAATATTATTATACGTCAGAACCAAATAAGTTAGCATCTACCAAATTGTTGAGGAGCAAAGATAAAAAAAAATATCATGGTGTACAAAACAAACTTTGCTACGTAATTTCTCATGAAGTGATTTGGATAATTCTCCTCCACAACTTTGGCTCCAAGGAAAAAGAAGTCAGTCACTCTTTTATTATGGCTATAAATTCCACAACTCAATCAATAGCCCAAAACAACACATCCTTTCTTTAATTATTAATTCCACATCAAATAGTTCATTTGCTTCAAATACTTTTGTCTCAATATATACATACAATGGAGTCATCAAGAATTAGTTTGCGTCCATTTCGATTAACAGACGTTGATGATATATTATTATGGGCTGGCGATGATCGCGTAACTCGTACCATCCGATGGGATACTTTGACCACAAAAGAAGAAGCCTTGAGTTTCATCAAGGAAGTGTGTATACCTCAACCTTGGTATTTATCAATATGTATCGACGATCGATCCATTGGATTCTTATGGGTAATCCATCCGGCCATGTCGGATTGTCTTCATGAGGAGGTAATTGAAGCTGCAGATATAGGTTACGCGATTGCAGTTGAGTATTGGGGGCAAGGAATTGCTACAAAGGCACTCAAAATGGCAATCCCTCGAGTGTTTAATGACTTCCCTCAAATAGTAAAGATTATAGCCTATGCTGGTTTGACGAATAAGGCTTCTCATAGGGTTTTGGAGAAGGCTGGGTTTCAATACGAACGTTCACTAACGTTGCATGGCGACTTCAAGGAATATGGAAATAAGGTTGTTTTAGTAGTATACAACTTACTATCCACAAATATATAACGGAGTTTTTTCATTTATATATGTACGCTTCAGCGGATAACTATGCCCTCTAACTTTGACTATGCATAAGTAGACACACGTGTTCTATGAGTTATGTGGTATAATATATGTAGGACGCCACGTAGGACATGAAATTGTCATGTAGAACGAGTGTGTTTATTTGTTCAATTTTATACAAGTTTAAGTGTCTACTTGTGCATATCCAAAGTTAAAGATCATAGTTGTCAGCTAACGTCAAGTTACAAATCATGTTTATGTATTATGCCCTTTATAAATTTATTGGTATAAAATAACCTCATTTTGCAACATTTCAACAAATAAAGACAAACTTATTGTTCCAAAATTTAGATATGAAATTCGAAAAATACTAGTATTAGCATAGCCGCCTATATTGAAAATTCCAAAAATGTCGTCATTAATTATTATGTTTTACTGTTCTACGTAGCCCCAAGTGTATTTCAATAATTTGGATCCGAAGAATCCATTCAGAAACATATTTTTGTCACTTTTGATCTTGATAAACACTTTAAAAAAAATATTTCTTTTGTGGAGGAAAAAACGGGTGTCACATGTAGTTCAACACCTATTTTTTATCAATCGCATGCCCTCAACTATCAAGAAAAAAACTGCTCATATATATTACAACCTTAGTTGCGTACACTCTTCACTTTTAATGTCACATTCGTTTCAGATTCTTTAAAAATACATTATTTTTGGCAAATTCGACATGCATTCATTGACATTTTTGAAGAGTCCGAGCAACATAGATTATAACTAGATATAGGACCCGTGCTAGCACGGGCCCAATACATGTACTTCCTCTGTCATTTTAATTGTTATGTTGCACATTTTGAAAGTTAATTTAACTAATTTTCAAAGATAAATTAGAGTACATTAATTCGATATTTTAAACAAAAAATTTAGATATTCAAAAACTATCTAAATTTTTGAAATTTGGACTGAGTGTTCCTAACATCTTGGTGGTTGATTTGAACGGTGGAGATCGGATTCGGAGGTCAGCAAGATCCTGTTTGAGGTCCCGAACAGCAGCTGCGTTTGGGGGGTGTTTCTTTCTATTTATCTTTTGTTAGTGTAGCTATTGTTTGTTCTCTTTTGACACGTGTTGTGTAGCCATTAGAAAAATATTGGTAACCCTCTTATTGTTATAGTAAAGCAATTCGGATCTTGTTGATCCCGTGGATGTTACCTTCGGTTTGAAGTTGTTTTCCACGATAAACTTGATGTTCTTTAATTTTTAAATTTTTGTTTTCATCTTTTCGTCACAACACTTGCAAGTTGTTTTATAATCAATACTAACCTTAGTTTGTTACACTTTTCCGTTTGTAAAAAAAGAATGTCTATCTTTTCTTATATAGAAATTATTTTAACTTGGAAATTTTCATTTCCACTTTTAACTGCATTATTGATTGAAAATATTTTTTCTTATATTTGACTACGCATTAAATAATTTAGTCGGTTGCCTAAAAGATAGTTCATAAAGTCATGGAAATGATTGAATAATTGATTTAAATGGATTCTTTTTGTGTGAAAGCACGATTTAAAAAGAAAGAACATTGCTAAAAATTAAATTGATTAGGACGCCACGTGTAGAACACAAAATTATCATGTAGAACGAGTGTGTTTATTTGTTCAATTTTATACAAGTTTAAGTGTCTACTTGTGCACATCCAAAGTTAAAGATCATAGTTGTCAGCTAACGTTAAGTTAGGAATCATGTTTATGTATTATGCCTTTATAAATTTATTGGTATAAAATAACCTCATTTTGCAACATTTCAACAAATAAAGACAGATTTATTGTTCCAAAATTTAGATATGAAATCCTCTGGATGAAAAATACTAGTATTAGCATAGCCGCCTATATTGAAAATTCCAAAAATGTCATCATTAATTATTATGTTTTACTGTTCTACGTAGCCCCAAGTGTATTTCAATAATTTGGATCTGAAGAATCCATTCAGAAACATATTTTTGTCACTTTTGATCTAAGATAAACCCTTTAAATATATATATATATATATATATATATATATTTCTTTTGTGGAGGAAAGAGGGGTGTCACATGTAGTTCAACACCTATCAATCGCATGCCCTCAACTATCAAGAAAAAAACTGCTCATATATATTACAACCTTAGTTGCGTAGACTCTCTATTTTTGATGTCACATTTGTCTCAGATTCTTCAAAAATACACTATTTTGGCGAATTCGACATGCACTTATCGACATTTTTGAAGAGTCCGAGCAACATAGATTACAACTAGATACAGGACCCGCGCTAGCACGGGCCCAATACATGTTACTTCATCTGTTCATTTTAATTGTTATGTTGCACTTTTTGAAAGTTAATTTAACTAATTTTCAAAGTTAAATTAGAGTACATTAATTCAAAATTTTAAACAAAAAAATTTAGATATTCAAAAACTATCTAAATTTTTGAAATTTGGACTGAGTGTTCCTGACATCTTGGTGGTTGATTTGAACGGTGGAGATCGGATTCGGAGGTCAGCAAGATCCTATTTTAGGTCCCGAACGGCAGCTGCGTTTGGGGGGTGTTTCTTTCTATTTATCTTTTGTTGGTGTAGCTATTGTTTGTTCTCTTTTGGCACTTGCTGTGTAGCCATTAGAAGAATATTGGTAACCCTCTTATTGTTATAGTGAAGCAATTCGGATCTTGTCGATCCCGTGGGTATTACCTTCAGTTTGAAGGATTTTTCACGATAAACTTGATGTTCTTTAATTTTTATTTTCATCTTTTCATCACAACATTTGCAAGTTGTTTTATAATCAATACAACCTTAGTTTGTTACACTTTTCCATTTGTAAAAAAGAATGTCTATCTTTTCTTATATAGAAATTATTTTAACTTGGAATTTTCATTTCCACTTTTAACTGCATTATTGATTGAAAATATTTTTTCTTATATTTGACTACGCATTAAATAATTTACTCGCTTGCCTAAAAGATAGTTCATAAAGTCATGGAAATAATTGAATAATTGATTTAATGGATTCTTTTTGTGTGAAAACACGATTTAAAAAGAAAGAACATTGCTAAAAATTAAATTGATTAGGTCAAATTTCCATTTATTCATCAAAAAAACGTGTCAATGTCTAATTATTCCACTTCATCATGATACTTTTGATCTTTAGTCCTAAGCAATTTGGTAGATTTTTGCTAACTTGCTTAGTTATGATGTACCATAATATTTATTTTTCAAATTCAAAATGTAAAAGAGGCAAGGTGAGTTCTTTTTCTAATTATAAATTTGATTGAATAATTTTGTAAAAGAAAACTTCTAAATTGAATAATCTTATTAATATAAACCAAAGTTAAATGACTTTACTAACGATTTTATAAGATACTTACTCAAATATAATCCATAAAGAAATATCACATAAAATGAGGCGTCCAATTAACATCCACTTGAAATTGGCAGAATTGCAACTTGGCACATGGAGATGAACTATTGAAATTGGACAAATTTGGCAACTTTACTATGCAAAATTTCTCCTCTCTCTTTCTTCCACGTTTATTTTGCCTATATTTCATCTATAAATAAATTATTACAAACCTCAATTAGTTGCCCAAAACAACACATCCTTTCTTTAATTATTAATTCCACTTCAAATAGCCCTTTTGCTTCAAATACTTTTGTGATCTCAATACAATGGAGTCGTCAAGAATTAGTTTGCGTCCATTTAGATTAACAGACGTTGATGATATATTATTATGGGCAGGTGATAAACGTGTTACTAGTACCATCCGATGGGATACTTTGACCACAAAAGAAGAAGCCTTGAGTTTCATCAAGGAAGTGTGTATACCTCAACCTTGGCATATATCAATATGCATCGATGATCGATCCATTGGGTTCCTATGGGTAATTCATCCGGCCATGTCGGATGATATTGAAGCTGTAGAGATAGGTTACGCGATTGCAGTTGAGTATTGGGGGAAAGGAATTGCTACAAAGGCACTCAAAATGGCAATCCCTCGAATATTCAATGACTTCCCTCAAATAGTAAAGATTATCGCGTGTGCTATTTCGAAGAACAAGGCTTCTCATAGGGTTTTGGAGAAGGCTGGGTTTCACTATGAACGTACAGTGACATTACAAGGCGAGTTCAAGAAATATGGAGATAAGGTTGATTTAGTAGTTTACAACTTCACAATTATATAATGAGCTAGTCTTTTCATTTATATACTACTATTTGCATGCTACTCCCATGCAATACTCATTTTTCAATAAATATATATATATTCCTTCATACTGAACACACCTTATAATATCTAGCTTCATTTGAAATAAAACCAAATCTAGCAAAAAGAACCAAATAAACGCGAAACAAACATGCAACTTAATGATCGAGCGAAGAACTTATTGGTATAAAATAACCTCAATCAAATAAAAGTGATTCGTGACAAGCTCATTTTGCAACATCTCAATTAAATAAAGACAAATATTATGATGAGCATATATAGCCGTCTAAAATGAAAATTTCAAACATGTTGTAATTAAATTCTTTTATTGTCGTAGCCCAAAATGGATTTTCAGTTTGTAGAAAAATATTTCTTTTTTTGTTAATTTCACATTAATTGAACTCACATAATCATTGTGTTTCATTTTATTAGGAATTTTAAATTGAAGGTGGGGCACAGTTGTATTTGGCCATTGAATGGGATAGTTTTTGTAAAAAATAAAAAAATTGGAGTAATATTTGAAAATAAAATAATAGTAAAAAGAGAAAACATCTCGTGTTTTTCGAAATTTCAAATACAACTTCAAATTATTTCATGACCAAACAAGAATTCTGGAATATAGTCTAAATATAGCTCTTTCCCTTTCTTGTAATAGTTAGCTTACTTTTAACTTGCTTAACTCCATCATACTAAACCCTATAGTATTCAATAAAACAACAATGATAAATATAATCTATTTTTGTCAATTATCATAACAAAAACTCAAGTAATTAAAAGGTTGTACATGTTTTCATACATGTTTGAGAATTAATTTTATATAATTTCAGATATATGGATTGACCATTAAGTTCAAAATATGGATAGAGATACTTGACATTGGCAACACTACTAAGAACTGAGTGAAGAATGAATTTTAAAAATCCAAAAATGTTAAGAAAGGATTAAAAAAAAGGAATGTATTCAGTGTGATTTTCTCAAAAGAATATAGTATTATATATATTATGTGGTTTCATATATATATATTAGACCATGTCACTATATTAGTTTGGGAAAACTTCATTTAGAAAAAGAAATACAAATATTCCTAACTTAAAAACAATTTTTTGTACTAACTTTGTTTTTGGTGGTTTTAAATTTTGTCCTTTAATTTTTATCTTTACTACTTATTTGTGTGGGCTAAAATACCCTTTACTATAACCTAAATTCATTGGGCACAATTAATTTTAGAAAACTTTTATCTTGAGTATATTTTTTGTCACTGAACTTATGCTCTGTGGTATAACTTGTATCACTGAACTTATGTCTTGGACACAACTTTTTTCATCAAACTTATGTTTTTTTGTGGCAAAATTTGTGCCACCGAACATAAATATCTTAGATCACAACTTGGATCACTAAACTTATGCTTTGGATAAATCTTTTGGCATAACTTGTACCACCGCACTTACGTTTTGAGGCATACGTCTTGACTTAATTTCTTTTGGCATATCTAACTTATGCCTTGTGAATTTTTTTTAAAAAGTAAAAATTAATTATCGCCTTAATATAGAAATATGAGATATCATTAGCTCTGATAAATAAAATAATTTATTTACCAAAAAAAAGTGTATAAGAAATACTTTTTGAGAAAATATATCCAAAACACCTTTTAGAAATTTGATGAAACATCCAATATTGTTGCTCAAAAATATTAATTGGCCAAAACAAATAGCTGCTCACTGAAAGTTCTTGTTCAAAAAAAACTTTTACATAAAAATATTTTTCAAAATAAGTTAATTTTAAAAAATTGGCCAAACAGATTAAATTTTAAAATGAGAGGAAACCGTGATTTCCAAATGAGTTCATGAGGAGTTTTTGAGCATTATCTCTTTTAGGAGAATCTTTTGAGAAATAATCTCAAATTTTCATGAATGTTTTAAAACATATGAGCATGAGTTATATATTATTGGGAGTAGTATTGAGCACCGATATAGAAATGAGTTCAAACAACTCAAAATCCTCATAAACCATGTATGTCAACATGGATAAAAGATCAGACTTTTTAGATGATTCCTTATTATTTTTAAGCATAGCTAAGTGGATCCATTTAGTTGAGAATGACCTTTACTCCGGCTAGGTATAGGACAAATCTGGCAATGTGGGCGAGACATTGTAACATCACGTAGCTCATAGTGATGGTTATCGATTAGAGAATCTCCCAATAATAGTAAAGAGTTTATTATTGTATTTTTATACACATTGAGTTATTATCTACTGTTTTAAAAGCTTTCTTTATACTGTATTTTTATTGTTGCTTTAAAATTGAATTGAATTGAGTGTTCTTAAGTTGAGTTGAGTTGAAATGGAATGAGGTGAGTATGTCCTTCCATTTTAGTGGCAACCTTAGTCGCTGCTAATACTTATAAAACCACTAATAGAATGTTTTAGTGGTCAGACAAGTCGCTGCTAATACATATAATAGTCGCCACTAATAGTTTGTTTTTAGTGGCAACACTTGTCGCTGCTAATACCAATAATAGTCGCCACTAATAGTATGTTTTAGTGGCAACACTAGTTGCCGCCAATGCCTATAATAGCCGCCACTAATAGTATGTTTTAGTGGTAAAACTAGTCGCTGTGAATACCTATAATAGTCGCCACTAATAATATGTTTTAGTGGCAAATCTAGTCGCCGCGAATACCCATAAGAGTCACCACTATTAATATCTTTTAGTGGCAACACTTGTCGCTTCTAATACCTATAATAGTCGCCACTAATAGTATCATTTTGTGGCAACACTTATCACTGCTATACCTATAATAGTCGCCACTAATAGTATGTCGTAGTGGCAACACTAGTCGCCGCGAATACCTATAATAATCGCCACTAATAATATGTTTTGGTGGCAAGACTAGTCATCGCCAATACCCATAAATTATTAATTAGCGTAATTTTCCCTGGAAATATTTATGAATGACCCAACTTGAAACGGTAACCTAAGTACAAATTATTATATAGAAGAATGAAGGCCAAGGACGACCAATGGCAATTTCGAAAATATGATGTGATTGAAGGGCAAAATCGTAAATGGCTGGCCATATGTGTAGAAGCATCTTTCAATTTTCAATTTAAAATGACCAATGGCAATTTCGAAAATATGATGTGATTGAAGGGCAAAATCATAAATGGCTGGCCATATGTGTAGAAGCATCTTTCAATTTTCAATTTAAAATTAAAAAATAAATAAATAGAGCAATGATAGAAGAACGGTCCAGAAAGGAAGACCCAATGCATGCTTCATCTTCTTCTTCTTAAAATTAAAATCATCTGAAAGAAGATCCAAAGCAACTTCATCATGAAATCGAAGAGTCGCAGCTTCATCTTCTTGAAATCGAACAGTCGCAAGTTCATCTCCTTAAAATCGAAGATTCATCCCTTTGACAGCGAAACTCATTCAGCGTTTCTGAGCGAAGGCTTCTTACATGATGTTCGGAGGTATGGGATCAGAGATTTGAGTATCACGGTTGACCCCCATACTAAAACGATTGAAATCAGATAGAAGACTGTTTTGTATGATGGCCTGCGTGAGGAGGCTCAGGCGTCAATCCAAATCAAATGGTTTTGATCTTGTTGAATGTCGATTCAAAGAGCTCAAACCTATCCTTGAGGCAGAGCAGAAGGCGGAAGAGGCAGAGATACCTGAAAAGAGTGGAGAATGTAGCTAGCTTGGTGGAAGCGGCCATCGGTGACGAGGTCATCAGTATCGTTACAGTTCTATACTTTTTACTTTTTGTGCTTTCCGTCTTTTCAATTTCATCAAATGCCAGAAATAACATTTTGAATAAATTTTCAATTTCTTCTTCTTTATCGAAACTTAAAGTTGTTATTCATTTCAGATCTTACATCAGGACAATTTACTGATCAACAAACTTCTTGCTTCATCATCAATGGAGACTTGCTCATCTTCCTGAACTGAATTTTAATCTCGGGTATGTTTCATTCATTTTGTCTGATGAATCTCAAAATCTCCAACGAAAAAAATATAATAAATAAAAATTTATAATTATATTATATAATATTAATATAATATAATAATAAAAAACTAAACCTAACAAGGCGGTTCTTGCAATATTCATCAAGGGTATAATTGTCATTCTGCTTTGATATTTAATTTATTTTTTATGTATAAATATAATAGTTTACTTGTCCATTAAATCCCTTCCACGTGGCTGAATATTAAACACACAATTACAAAATATCTTCTATCTAGAAATTTCCATCATACCTTTAAATAATTCTTCATCTTCTCTTCTCACAGATAGTTCATCTTCCTGGTATATCAAGTGTGTTTAGTCTTCTGACCTTCCAATTTTAGGTAAGTTCTTCATCAATTTTTTGGTCCTTCTCTCATATATGTATCTTTTTTTCTTCTTACTCATATAGCTATTTGTTAGAAATTATGATTTCAAGGAAGTTGGCTTGAGACACCGATGTGCTTTGTGAAGTTCATATAGGCAGTGATTTTTAGGGGTGATCCTTGATGACTAGTCGTTCATTCTGAGATTTCTGCATTGCTTTATGTTATCTGCATTTTGTTTCTATCTAAGAGAATGTAGTCGACATTTTGCCAATGTATTATGACTAAGAAGTTTCCATTCTAACCGTTTATCTCACATGTAAAAGTTCCAAGTCTCAAACCACGTTAGAAAATAGCAATATTATGGTGTGTTGAAAGCTATGTTGCATAGGCTCTTCACTTTGAATGTCGCACACATGTCGGATTCTACAAAAATATACTACATTTGGAGAATTTGACATGCGCCCACCGACATTTTTGTAGAGTTCAATCAACATAGTTTGAAAGTACATTGTTGCAAAAGGCACACTTTCTTTTTTTCTTAATGTTGCATGAATCAAGAAGTGATTTTTCGGGCAGTGAAATTCCCAGTTGATACAGTGTTGTCATAGAAACCTTGCAACTTTGTTCTTTTGTTCCAGTACATGGATTTCACAATAGTTCTTGTTTGCTATTCTCTAATTATCAATTATTTAGACTTAAATGGAAAAAAAAGAACTATGTGTTGTTTGTTACTATTCTAATTCCATATTCTCTTCTGCATTACTATTTAAATCAACCTTACATTTTTAGTATTTTTTAATTTTGTTTTTCCTATTAAACATGTCTATTATATTAGATCTAATTTAATATATGGTTTGAACTTTTAACTTTACAGAATTTCCACTTCGTTGCGATAATTGTTCGCTCCTGTGTTTCACTTTTCTCTCAGTGTGTGGTAAGTATTACTCAACTAATTCCTTATTTAAAATTATTACTATTATTTACCAGATAATTATTTTGTCTAAAATTATTTTGATCCCAAAGATGTCAAGTAATATAAACCATAAAAATGTGCATGCTTTTCAAAAATCAAATGCGGATAGAAATGCTAGGAGACGTGCATTATACAGATTGATGCCACCTGAGAAAAAAGAGATTCTTCTAGCACGCCGTCGAGCAAAGAGAGCTGAAATGAGAAAACATAACTTATCTAAAAGTTCAATGAATAATAATTTGGCGACTGCATCGTCTTCTAATTCCACCATGGTTTCTGTTGCACAAAGTTCTGATCGTATGAGAGAACCCATGTTGCTCCTATCAGAAATAGATAGTACTATGCCATCAGAAACTAATTATATCAAATTAAAAGAAGTATCAAATTGTCAATTTTGTAAAGCCATAAGATTTGTATATGAACCGCCTGCATTTTGTTGTAGCAATGGTTCTGTTCAATTAACTTCACATGAGATTCCAATAGAATTAAAAAATCTTTATTTGGAAAATACAGAGCTATCAATTAGAACTTATATTAGAACGTACAATAATATATTTGCTTTCACATCTCTTGGGGTAACTTATGACAAAGAATTAGACAAAAAAAATAATGGTAGTTATACTTTTCGGGTTCAAGGTCAGATGTATCATTTCATCAATGACTTGATTCCTACAGATAAAAAAGGAAAAAATCTTCAATTATATTTCTTTGATAGTGAAAATGAATTAAAAAATCGAATGGCATGTTAAAATAAATTAAATGAGTATGTTGTGAGAACTCTGATGGAAATATTAAAAATTAATCCATACTCTATGTTTTTAAAATCTTTAGTAGATGTTCCACAACTATCTGATTTTTATATTGCACTTAAGTGTGATTCTGGCTTAGATCAGCGTATATATAACTTACCAACAGTATCAGAAGTTGCAGGAATATGGGTAGAACAAGATATTACTAATTCTATTCCTACACCACATATTCGAATATATACAAAAAGTGATAAAAGTCAATTGGTAAATTATTATTACGGTTGTTATGATCCATTGCAATATCCATTGCTATTTCCATATGGTCAAGGTGGATGGCATTGTGGTATTAAGAAAATTAAGTGTTCTTCAAGAACGTCAACACAAGTATATTGCGAACAAGAACAACTACCAAGTATAAAAAATATGTGTTCAATAGATGGATTGCTTAACATGAAAGCCAAAGTTATGCTAAAAGAAAAGCACAAACGAG